ACACACAGCAGTCCAGAACCTCCGGGAGATCTGCCTGCCGTCCGATAAGACTTGCAAAGTTTCGGGGCCAAACCCGTCGTTGTCGTGCGCACGTTTCGCGGGTAACTGGGACCTGACCTTCGGATATGTGCATTTTGCTGCTGACTGATGAAGAAGAATACTGGAGACTGTCGACCGGCTGGACGGACGGGTGGATGGAATGGTTGGCTGTTGGTTCGTCCGGCATTGTTGAAGGTTAAACGGAGCTCAAGCCGCCGTTGATGGCAGTGGGCCAGTGGACTTCAGAACCGAAGGCACATGCACGATTGACGGGGACCCGCAAAGGACGGACACATCCCCGCAACCGTATCGAGAGAGACTGAGAATGGGAAGAACCGTTCTGCGCTGCGTCTGGCAACTGCCAAAAACGGCAGGTCTGTCGAAACGGACCCTACCTGCTTCTTTTAGTGCGAGGTGGTATCCGTCCATAGTGCTCCCGCCGTAACCGCGTCTTATCTCAGCACAGACTTGACCGGTCGATAAGATTATCACCGCCGGAGAACGTGGGGTTTGACCGGTCCCTAAGGAAGAGGGATGGTGTTATCGCGTTTCCCGTATTGCTTACCCCATCCTCCCCAAGGCCGCCCCGAGGAACATTCTCGTATGCTGTCATCCGGCGTTGGCATTGCTATTTTCAACTCTTGCTATCCGTAATGGGCGCCGGTGGCACGACGACTAAAGAAGGGGATGCAGGCAGACGGCAGGTCCAGTTCCATCGCGTTTCCATCGTGGGAGCTACGTTGCGCCCTCGCGAGGCCTCTGCACAGTCCCCGACGGATACTATGGCCTGGTATGGAAGGGCTTGGACGATGGCCCGGGAGGGGTCGGTGCTCCCGTCCGAAGGCCATCACGCTATCTTTGGGGTGTATATCTTTAGACAGCCGACAGCGCCGCTCTCAGAAGAAACCCGCCGGTGCCGGTGGCTGATAGTCAGTGCTCCTCAACGCCCCGGATTCCAGTTCCCCGGCCTATCTAAACGAGCAACTCGGAATCCAAAAGAAGACGACGAGGGCGACGACGACGTTGAACGCCAAGGGATGAACGGACGGACGGACTGCGATAGGTAGGCGAAAACGGATTCCGAGCCCGCGCTTGTTCACGTCGCCTGAGGATGAGGCAGGCGGTGGGGGTTTGGGGGTGCCTCTTTGGGACACCGATAAAGATTACGGCGGCGGCGGCGGTGGTGGTCCATCTTGGAAACGTGGGGGTGTTGGTTGGGTGATTTGCGCTTGCTTCCCTCCCCATCATCCCCGGCGCATTCCCAGCAGAGGCTCGGTCTCAGTCTGCTGTTCCCGTCGCTGCGTTGGCACTGGTTGCGAGAGCATCATCAGATAACGGACACCGACAACTTGCTTTTGGTCTCTGCCCAACGACCACCACCCTTTTTTTTCTTGAAATGACCTCACACGCAAGACAAACAAGCAACCAACACCCCCGATGGCGCCGCTTGCTTCACTCTGCAGCCCAATCGACAAAACGAAATGAAATCGGCATCAGTCTCAGGTCTCAGAAACCAAGCGCCGGAATAACAAACGGCAGGATGGAAATATGACAAGTGACCGGCTGGGCTCCGGCTCCCCGGGGGGTCGGGTAATCTCCCAGCGAGTCGATCCCAACCCAACCGCCCGGCGAACCCAAGGCCTGGGTCCGGCCACGACCGCATCTTGCAGGGCCAGCGACGCAGGCAAGCGGCAGCAATCACTAAGGCGGTGACCGGGTCTAGAGTCATTCTCTTCTGCTGCGGGCTGCGGTGCTGTCGTCGCCGCGGGAGATGGGCGATCCCTCTATCGTGCATTCGTGCATTCCACCCTCTCCCCAAGGCCCAGAACCCGCACCGCAAACCTCGTTGTCTCGTATCGTTTGACAGGGGCACGATTGTACGGAGCCTGTACGAAGGACGCCCCCTCCGTCAGCGGTGGGATATACCAATCACCCAGGAGCCCAATCTCAGCATTACGACCAACACACCCTCGGCGTTGGTGTCGCAGGGTCGCGCATTTCATACCGCTCGCGATGCGATGGATCTCATGGAGGGGCACACAGGTGACAGGAGAGGGGTAGCTACTTTAGCTACTGCCGCAGTAAGGTAAGGTTGGTAGGGCAGCTTGTCATCCCCAACGGTCGCGAACACGCACAACACAACTCTCGCCCTTTGTAATTGCCAAATCCAAAATGGCCTTGCCGTGATTCGCGATCCGAAAATACAATGCCGCCCACCACTTTGCAAGACTCGATCCCTCCATTCCCTCCCTCCCCCACGGATGACTCTGGCTAGGCCTGGACCATCTTCATCCTCCCTCCTTATCCGTAGGTGCTTCAGGCTGTCTTGTCCTGTTCGACAATCCGAAAGCCGGACGCAGCGCATCTCGAGAGCTAATCACACGCGTCTCCGGCGTGTTACGGTCCTCATAGGACAACTGCGACGCACACACGGTCTGGGTGACGGCGTCCCATGGGCGGCGCTCGGGACCTGACTGGTCGGGCGCGTGCCAAACTCTCGCCGTTCTGCGCTCCAATCACCTCCCGGCGCATCGCCGTCCGTCGCAATCACAGTGACTCACTGTTTTGTGTGTGGGGGACGGGTGACGATGATTGATGATGGGGCCAGCGGCAGCGGCAGCGGCAGCAGCCCAGTGGATGAAGCAAATACAGAAAAATTTTCGGCAGTCTACCTAATACGAACCCACCCTTGCTGTCATTCGCATTCTTTTTCTGCTTCTCTCGCAGCTTCTTCTGCTGCCAATTTCGCGGCGGCATGTCGCTCATTCCCGTCCTGCGGCCCTGGTCACATCCGATAGCGGGCCGCCGCAGCCTTCTCTATATATCTGTCTGTCAACGACACGACAACGGAGGGGGGTCCGGACATGTGGCTTGCGTGCGTTGTGTGTGGATGTGTGTAAGTGTGTGTGTGTTGTGTGCGTGTCCGTCCTGCACACCCACCACCACCCCCTCTTCAACCTGGAACCCGTCAAATGCCATCTCTCCCGCCCTGCCGTGGACGATGGAGCCCAGCCCAGCCCTGCTGCGTGTCTTGTGTGTACGATTTCCCTTACGTGCGCTGCAAGTTACGGGCGGTGTGTATGGTGTGCCTGGGATGCTGCCCCGATTCGTCGTCCCCTCATCGTGCATGCAGCAAGTTAGCATCTGCATCCCGAAGGAAAGAAGAAGCAAGCAAGCAAGCGAGCGCAGGAAAAGGAAAGCTGAAACCACACACCCCTCCTCTCTGAGCAGCAAAACTACCCCTGCCAACAAAACAATCACATTTCCCCATCCTCGGGGCCCAATCGATATGTATGCGACAAGTCTCACCGCCGCTTTCCATGACAGTCATAATTGAAGATTCAGTAAAAAAAAAAATGACAGGGACACAACGAGGCTTTTTTGAGACCTGCATTTTGTCTTTGATCCTTGGCGTTGGGTAAGGAATTTTTTCTTCTGAGATTTTGTCTAGCCCTCCCCTCTCCGCTCCGATATCCCACATGTCTCACGTAACGAAATGGGACCTGGGAAAAGCAAGACTACACGAGACCTCCTCCATTCCATCCGCAATCCCGTTTGCGACAGATACCCCGGTCGCAGAAGCTAGCTGGCAGATGCACCACCGCTTTGTGTCTCTGATCGAACGCCGGATCGTCAGGGGCACTGGCGGGGAGAGAATGCCAGTTGGTAGAAAAATGTATGTTTGCGTTTTGCTTTTGGGCAGCACACACACGCGAGGCACAGCCGTTGCGGACATGATGCTAGGTAGCCGCTCTGACCACACTCAAAATCGGCTGCCGACATGCGAATCTCTGGTGTCGGCTCAGGAATCTCGGGGCTGAAGCGGATGTGGAAATGGGAGGAAATAGTCTTTACATTGCTGCGCCGAGGCTGGATGACGATCGCCGCCGACGTCTGATGTTTGACTTTCAGCCGCGTTGATCGATCGGTGGTGAGGTGAGATTTGGCGGCGGCGGCACATGTAGCAAGGTTTTGCTGTCCCTCGTCCTCACCCCCCGGTTTGTGTTTGGATTGCCGCGTGGTGCAGCCAGCAGGTTCACGGGCATGTAGCAATAACTGCGTGCGGCATGCAAGCTGAGAGCTCCTCTAACCTTGTTCACGAACTCCATCCGAGCTTTTCCTTACGTGTGCAGGAGGAGCAACAAGCAGCACAGCCCGTCCTGGGTGTGCCAGCGATGCCCGGATCACAAGGGGGAACCGTACGATCGATCGATTGCATGGCATGTCTGTCCCGCGTAGAGCATCCCCGGAGATGAAGCATCAGGAAGGAGGGTTTGGATTATATCATCCCGCATACGGAAGACCTTCCCCGGCCGTCCCGCGTCGCGTCTTGGGAAAGAAATGGGTTTCTAAATCCGTCCGCATGTAGCCTCGGCAGAAGCAGCTGTCAAAGTTGCTTCTTGCCGTCCGCCGATCGACCGGGGGTAACCAGTCCGCCGGCGACCTTGCTCGGCCCCGCTGCGCAGCCCGTCATCCCCGTCCGTGATGGTGTGCGTCGGGGTGCGCCCCACTTGGCGGACACCGCGCTGGACCGTTCTCCGGGGCTGGGGACCCCTGACTTGCCGTTTTAGGAATGCAGACGTCGGAGGAGTGGACGGCGGCGGTCGGGTGGCGAGTAATGATCGCCGGATCTCCGGGGCTAAGGGAGACAGACTACTGCACTTCTGTCACCTGAAGGTAGGATGTTGGTGTTATTGAACGAGCTGATCTCCATGCAACATGAGCCAGCTTGAAGGATTTCTATTATGTCTGCTTCTGACTGTAAGAAACAATCATCCTAATGTGGAATCCAATCTAAAATAGCCGCAGGGCTCGTGAATGAGAGACTTGAAGATTAAAGAGCACAGGAAGCCTTTTGAATACCATAATCCGACGACTTTTGCCAACTTTGCCATTTTCCGGGAATCATACCATCCTCCCATTATCTCCCTTCAACGAGAGAGCCTCCAATCTTCCCCGTCTTAACGCAGAGGCAGAGTCTTCTGCGCATCGCTGACGGTGCCGTTCTCGACAGCAGCGCGGTGTCCGCGGGCAATGTATCCGTAGGCGGGGTAGTACTCGTCGAGCCAGGAGAAGAGCTCGTTGGCGCCGGGGGTATTGCGCCAGTCGCGCATGAGGTCGAGGGAGATGGAGAAGAGCGAGACGACCTGGACGCCGGCGGCGGCCATGCGGTCGTTGGAAATGTCGCGGATGAGCTCCGTGGTGGTGCCGGATGCCTCGACGTTGGCCCAGACGGAGTAGCCCTCGGCGCGGAGGGACAGGGCGAGGAAGGTGGTGCAGACGTCGGTGGTGATGCCGGCGAGGATGATCTGCGACTTGTTGGCGGCGCGGACGGCGTCGCGGAAGTCGGCGTTGTCCCAGGCGTCGACCTCGCCGTTGCGCTTGATCAGGGGCGCGGTGGGGTGCATGTCGAGGATCTCCTGAGGGAGGGGTCCGTTGGGGCCTGGCTGTGTTAGCGAGATGGCCGAGATGGCAGGTTGATCTGGGGGCAGAGTTTGGCTTACCGGTCTCGGCGGAGGTGGTCAGGACAACGGGGAGGTCAAAGATATTGGCCAGAGAGGAGTGCGCCAACATGGCGTTGCGGTAGAGGGTCGGATCGAAGTCGCGGGCGAGGTTGAAGAGTCCCTCCTGCATGTCGACGACCAGAAGCATGGAGTCGTTCTTGTTTAGTCTCTCCCAGGGGACGGCTGTTTGGTGTTAGTCGGCTGCGAAGGTTCGCCCGGTTGTAAGTGCAACTAACCATCACCAACGACGGTGGAGATGAGGGCCGAAGCCGCGAGAGTAAGGGAGAACTTCATGGTGTTGACGGTTTGGGGGGTTGGTCCTAGGCAAGCTGGTTGAGTCTGGGGATTGGGATGAAGATTTGGGCTTGATTTGTCTGCTTGATGAGGATGAAGAGGGTACCATTAGACAAAGACGAGCAGATATCTCTCTTATATACAATACTCCGACGATACACCTTAACATCCGTTTCTATGGACGCTATCCTTCTCGGTGTCTATTCCGCAATGTCGACATCGTGGCCGAATCTTCCTACCAACGGTCACCGCCCACGTGCATCTCACTCGATATGCGTCATTTCCCATTCGGTTCATTTCCATGGCAGTATGCTGTAAATCCGACTCGGTGTAACAGAAATCCATACAGCCTTGTCTGCTGTTGTGCTTCTCCCACGAGAATTTCCTCTTTGGGAAAGATGCTAGATGTGCTTTCGAAGGATGCAGTAAACATCGAGTGTACGTTAGTCAGCCCCCCTGCTCATCTCTTGGCGGATCTCTAGCCTCATCGGCATTTTGAGTTGAATTCATTGGTTTTTGACGATACAGTCTGCCGAACGGCCCGGAGCGATGGCTAGAGGTGGAACTCCGCCGGCGGTACCCATGCGCAGAGAGGAGATCTCCCATCCAAAATGCCATAAGCTGGGCGTAAGCATCTCCCAACCCTAGAAATCTGCTGGTGATTGAGCTGCTGCGTGGTCTTGACTAAGCCTCCATCACCGGGAACGTACGAAAGGAGACAACAAGGTCACACAACTCATTTACCCCAAAGCCCCGCATCGGTTGGACAAGTCACGCACGACCTGCCATATTGAAGATGGCGGATCTTTTCGTGGCGTAGAGGGAATGGAGTCGTTAGTGTTGGCTTAGCTAAGGCCCGCGTCGGTATTTGATAAGACGGGAGTCCTGCTTTGTGAGATGCGTCCCGCTCCGTGGTGGGGCCTGGGTTCCTTGGTCGATGCCGCGATTGCGTTGTGGAGAGCACCCGCCCGGTTTCTAAGCGGTTATGTTGCGTGTGTCAGCAACCATGTTGGCCGCATAAGAGTTCTTCCCGTTGGTCAACGCCGTTTGATGCCGGGCCCCCTCGCTTCTTCCATTAAGCATATTACTTGATGTTCCAGCACTCGAGTATACCTTAGTTTTTTTTTACTTTAAATCAAGTTTCCTTGTGACTTACTGCGTCAATGGTATGTTGAGAGCCGAGCATCGAAACCACGTCTAGTCACATCACGGGTTCAGCATGGGCTACCAAGTACCTAGCTTGAATACTTGAGGATCAACACGGGCCTCAGTGTCGAGGTGCGTTGGTCCGAGTAGAAGATCTTTCATCTCAGCTATGCCATCAGCAACTTGTTACAGCGTCAGAATCTTGGAGCAGACGACTGTGAAATCTACCCGTCATGAGCGTTTGTGATGACATGCGTGTATTGGTATTGTACTACACAATATGAACCACCAGTTTTCTATATGTGTCCCAACAAACTCATAGCGCTTCCGTTCACCGACAATCCGCATCGCCCACTCCGGTACAGCAGGTAAGAGTCGCAGTACCCATGCCACCGCAAATGTTTCTAAACGGCGCGCTACAAACTCTTCCGTTTGTGAACTGGGTGCATTCGGCTGAGGCGAAAGAAGGCCCAAGACAGACCGCCGCGGCGGCGGCCAAAAGCAAGTTGGTGAAGTGCATGGTGGAGATGTGGCTGAAGCGGTTCTGTCAGAAGCGACCACAACGTCATGGAACAACGATACTCACAAGGGATGATTTGACAATTGGAAGGTTGAGTTTGGTTGGGCGAAAGATGTAAAATGGACTGAAGAATACGGCGATGTCAAGTTCACGCCCTAGGAAGGAGGGATGGCAACGATCTTAAATGTCTTGATGTCAAGCCAGCCCACTCACGGAATCTTGGTGAATTCAGGACGATCACACGTTTTCCGCGAGTCATACTTGTCAATAAATGAGGCAGGAGTGTTGGAGACTGGCCCTGTCTTGTGTGGAACTGTCGCCCTAACGCAACATCTAAAGTCAATCAAGATGATGTTGTACAGGCGACATTCTCCCTTATCCATGACTCTCATCAAGAGCAAGTTGTTTTAGCATCTTCCACCTGATTCAGTACTCCGCCATGGTTCGCCAAGCATGTCATTTGCCGGAACAGATGTAGAGAAAAGCATAGCCACGCGCGCCCAGGCCTCCATCTCCGTGGAAAGCGCGGAAGGGAAAGCCGGGAGATCAAGATGTGAACACTGTCATTTTAATATGCCGCATAGCCATTGTCTCAACCTCTTCCATCCAGAAACCCTTCTTGTCTGGTTCCGTGGTTGTTGGCATCGGCCCCTGAGCCACGAGCGTGATGTAGAAGTGAAGGGCGGGCGACTTGGTGCCACAGTCAACTGGAATTTGTCTCTTTCTCAAAAGTCTGTGTATTAATATACATATGTATGTATTTACGCCGTTTTGAGGTAGAATCATCTAGAATCACCTCCTGCATGTGACATATTCCGGAAAGGAGGAACTTCAAGCGTCAAAGCATTGCTCAGGGAGTACGCGTGCTCCTCGCTCATGAACATCTGGACTGGCGGACCCGTGTACCTGTAACCGAGAAATGCTTCTCGTACATGATGCTCAGATACTGTGGTTTGGTAGTATCCACCGCCAGGTGCTCGTACTCCTCGGATTTCCTGTCGCCTATCATGTTGTCAGCCCGTGTGATGTCCTGCCGCAGGCCCATCAGCCACGGGTGTAGTGCCGAGACGTAATCGTGAATCGTGGTATATTCAGTGTTGGACGCCTCGATGACGAGGGGGCAGTGCTCGTTTTGGCCGGTTAGTGTCGCAGCAGCGCAAGAGCTTTCCCTCGTCGCCATCGTCGTCTTCTTCGTCTCCTCCGCTGCTGCTGCACTCTGACTCATAAAGAAGGTCATCCAGCAGCTCTCCATAGACGCAGTCGTCGTCGTCGTCGTCGTCGTCGTCGTCAGAACTAGCATGTCGCAAGTGCCACTCAATCCATAGGCCTTGCCAGCGCTTTAGGACATCGGCATGTACGCTTATGCTCTTGATCTTGGGTTCAGTGAATGACTCCTGTCCGATGGCGTGCCACGAAATGTTGCCTGTGAGGCCCCGGGTGACGAAGGGTTCGCGCGGAGGGTCTTGGGTGTCCCAGTTCCGCACGACGAAGATTCTCTCGGCCAACAGGCCCTGGAGCCTCCATAAGAGACGGAGCGCTTGAGGGCTCGCTTGAAGGCTGGGCAAAGCGGCGTGTTGCGACAGGAGGAAATGTGTGTTGCAACATCATAAAATGTGTGCTACGGCATTAGGAAATGCGTGAGATGAAGGTAACTGGAAATCGATTCGGCTAGGCAATGCTATGGCACAGTCTGTGGGTCTGTTCAGTTCCCTGTGAGGGTTTGTCTAGATGTGAGCCCCTCACTAGCTTATCTATGGGAGAGCGGATGGGATCCTGAGATTCTCAATGGGTTGAATGGGCGATGAGGTCTATGGGCGCTGAGTAAAGCAATCGACAACATATGAACGCGAGTGGCTTCGAGGAATATGAGATGAAGCCAGGAACTCATGAAAAAAGAACTGGTCCGGAGTTGTTATTAGACAGCTCACTATCCACGTTCAGGGAACAGACACTATAGCATTGTCAGTAGCCCTCTTAGGAGCTTGTTTGATACCTACGATACTGCTATCACTGGGTAGTTCAGCATACTCGAACTAGGTGTTCTGGAGAGCAAAAGATGACAACAAAACACCAAAAAAACATACAACACCGGGCATTCGCCGGTCGTCACCGACCCGACTACTACTCCAGCCCTCATTGGCTTATCTATGGGAGAGCGGACGGGATCCCGAGTTTTCCAATGGGTATGGTCGTATGTGGTGGAAGTGTGCGATGAGGTGGACCAAGTAGGGCTGGCGGGGCATACTCGCGATGAGGCTCCACCCACAGCAACACTCCGACATCTATTTCATGCTTACGACTTTTCAGGATAGCTCTTTTTTTTTATCGAACCACTGAAATAGAATGTCTGAGACTTTACGCAGTTGAAATATTTGATGTGGTTGAGTTTGACGCGCTGGGAGGTTGGAGTGTTCCTCGGCTGCCCCGTCAACAGTGCTGGAAGGAACCAATCAATACCCGCCTTCTACGCTCATTTCATCGAAGATGTGCTCTTGAAGATTGAGCCAAATTTGGCCAGCTTTCTTCTGGGAGCTGAGAGGATGTGTCGTTCGGCATGGTCTTCCACCAACCCTCAGGGCAGCGCGTTTCGGCGGTTGTTGACACCGGAGAGGCACCGTATGACACAGCCTTCAATCCAAGTCGTATCTAATTGGCAACAGCAGCGAACTTTGAAGGCTCGATTTTCCCAGAGTTGCGGAAAGTCTATAATAGCCCATATTCGGTGCTATGGGCCATTTAGGAATGATGATAGATGGAGCAGGGAACTTCGTGACTAGTATAGGCATCATTAATAAGCCAACAAAGGATCTCTAATTACGTATCGTCAATAGCATCCCCGTATAATCAAGACCGAGACAACATTTAAGCAGTTAGCGTTGCTAACTTCTCAACCAAGACTGGAGGAACGTTAAATAAACCGCCTAAAAGGTAAGTTTCCTATTCATAGTGTGAAGGATAAAACAATGCATGACTTAGCCTGAGAGGCTTAAGAGTACCATGAGAATGAGCATGAAATATTTGATCAAGAAGCCCCAGGAGCTTGTGCTAAGTCTATGTACTAGGCGTGTATATCTGAACTGAGTCCGTATATGTACTCTATCATATCCTTGGTTGTAAAGCTGGTTTCATAGCCTGTGCTGATTCCTCATCCCTTAGTCTATGTGTTTATGGTCCTCTTCTCCTGCCTCTACTTCGAACCTAATTTCGCGGAATCCTGTGTTGACTAATCCTCGTTGGACGGGGGGCAACACAGTTGCTACCAGCTTTTCAGTGCTTACCCTTACGCAAAAGCGGACGATTGTATGTGACTTACGGACGCTGTGCAAGCCGCTCC